AATTGTATCTGATCGTCAAAAAAGTACTTGTCCATATTGAGAGATATTGCTCTGGAACAACATTCAAAATCAGCCATTTTGAATACATGTATATATATATATAACATGATGTACAACGAATATATGAAATTTGAATATAATCAGTCAAAGCATTAAAACAAAATGGCCGCCAGACAGCCATTTTGAATCCGATCTGAAAAATAAATGATGTGCATCAGGAACCTGTAATGTCTAACATATGTACCAAGTTTGAACGAAATCCATCCATAAATGCTTGATATTTGATGATTTTTTAGCACAAAAATGGCTACCATTTGGCCATTTTGAATAGGATCGTCAAACCAATATATCTGTCTATCTATGACATGATGTATATTGAAAATTTTAAATTTGAACATAATCAGTGAAAGCAAGTCAGAGATATGGCACGAGAACCACATTCATTAAAACAAAATGGACGCCAGTTGGCCATTTTGAATCTTATCTGAAAAACAAAATTATTTGCATTAATCAATACACTAACTACTATTATGCAGTCACTATAATGACTAATGACGTAATCAGTACACTAACTACTATGATGTAGTCACTATAATGGATAATGAGTTAAGGTCCCATAATGTCTAATGTATATACCAAGTTTGAACAAAATCCATCTGTAAACAGCCGAGAAATGCTTGATTTTGATGATTTTTTAGCACAAAAATGGCCGCCATTCGGCCATCTTGAATCAGATCGTGAAACAAATTGACGTGCATATGTATACTATCATGTATGATGTATGTGTGAAGTTTGATTGTGATTGGTCCAGGCATTTCTAAGATACAGGTCCGGACGCACGCACAGACACAAACACAGAAGTCAAAACATAAGTCCCCGTTTTCGGACTGCGTCCGAACGGGGACTAATAATATGATGAATTGAAAAATACCTAGCCACAATTGCTTATTTTACAATACTATTTAAAAATTAATATTTGTAATATTAACCGAGTAATGTTGTAAATATAGACTGAATGGTCATAATCATCCCCCAATACATTATGTCACTAACGTGTCACTGTAGGCCAGATGTTCTCGCATGTAATCGATTGTAACTAGAATTAAATGAACTGTCACCAATTTGACATTTTAGCTCCTCCTAAATATTTATAATTTTGTAAATAGATAACTATATAACTTACATACACATGATTATACCTAATTATCAACAGAATAGTGAAAAGGTCACATCTATATTTAGAATAAACAGTATTACATTTCACAGAGCTATCAGCTTTTAGTTCACTATGGCATAAAATGTTGAAAACTATGGACAGATTATACATAAATTTAGACTATTTGCATTCAGTTATATTGAGTAGGCTAGTATCCACTCAAGCTGAGAAGCCCTCCAAATTGAATGAAGTGTAACATCTAAGAATGAGGCAGCACAGGTAAAGCAGCGTATTCTTGCCAATGGAAAGTGGATGAATTCTTTCATTTAGACTGAGCCACACAGGACCAGTAATCGCAAACATTTAGTTGAGACAGCAGCTCTCACCTGTTATTTTATCATGTACATCAATGGAGGAATTCGCACCAATGTTTTATGTCGAGATAGCTTTGAGAGTTGACCCACCCAAATCAGAGTTTGGAATGTCTGATTTTCTCGCAGAGGTACATGTATTCACAATCAAAGAATGGCCTTATGCCAGTCTCCAAGGACCCACCAATTACTTCAGAAACTTGTGTAAAGAGATTCTACTGTACTTTGTCACATCACTTTGTTCCAGAATGCAATGCAGATTAGATGGTAAACTTGTTTGAATTGTGTGGGGAACTTCCTTTGACTGGTTATTATTATTATTATTGTTATTATTATTATTATAAGTTTCTTCACTGACTTGACTAGTTGGAACACAAAAAACAAGGAAGTGATGTAAGATTTTTTTATTTGGATAAAATAAGCCAATTATTACAATTACAATTCATATGACGGTTTTTGATTCTGAAAAGTAATACATGGGAAGAAGCCTAGAGGCTAAGAAAAATTACAACACTAATTTATTTGATGTATAGGATCAATCAAGGAAAATGATATTAATAAATACCTCAAAACAGACTTTCTTATTTCAGCATTTAAACATTTAATCCTGTAAAAAACCTATTTAAAACATTTAGAAAATGAGCAGCTTTTCACCTTTCCACAATAGAACATTAGAATACCGTAGTCCAACAATCTAGTCTTCACGCTGTATAGAAATTTTGTAGTTTCTGACTTGCAAAAAACATACAATGATGGACGGCTTTCTTGTTGTACATAATTTTCAAGAAAATTGGTCATAAATTACATGACAATGTTCATTGGTTTATTATGTACAATCATGGATCTATTGTCCATGACAAAATAAAATATCATTTTTTTTTGTTTGTGTGCGTTACCAGTGACGTTTTTTTTTGAGAAATTTTCCCTAATAATTTTTATTTTTTATTTTTAAATCAATTCTATAGAACAATGTTAATGAAAAATTACATTTTCAACACTTTTTAAAACACAGGTTTTTTGAAACAATTCAGAACAATAAATATCACGAGATTACCAATATATTATTTTTTTCAGCCTATGTCACCAGCCTACAATTTAAGATGCATCATAATCTTGCCATTGAAATCCATGATAAAAGCATTATAATACTGCCAAAACAGCAACTTAAATCAAAATACAAAAAAAATTTTGAAAATTAGGCTGGTGACTATCCTTACATTTTGGAGTACATTTTATTGCAAAATAAAAAAATTCTGGGTATTTTTATTTATGAGTAGGCTTCTACCTTTAGTATTGAAAGTAGATTTTTTGACTGAATATTTACTTGCAGCTAGCAACAGTAACATGGGGCTTGTCAGAGTTTTGAGAGCGCTGTTCAAATGACGCACACAGAACTCAATAAAAAGGTGTATTACCTGCATGTTAATTGTGATCAATACCTTAGTGACGTCAGTCTCTAGATCAGTTGTGTTGTAACCAAAATTTGAAGTAAATTATACAAACGAAAAAGACAACTTTCCAGTGCTACTCATTATACAACGCAAGAAGGAGCAATTTAATGTTGGTGACACACGATAATTAATTCTTGAAATTTCCTCAAATGAAAATTATGCATGAATTGATGCTTAAGTGGATTGCAGTTCCGGGAACTTATTTGAAAAATCGTTCATTTATTTCAAGAGTAACACAAATGTTAACCAAAAATAACAAATGATGTTTTATTTGCCATTTTAATTTTTCTTATTCTGATTTAATAGCAAAATGAACAAGTGTTTAATGTTTATGAAACTGGCAAATGCTTCTTGTTTTGTCAATGTTTTAAGGATATATTTATCCAATTAATAGTAACATTTTAGTGATTATTTTAAATTCGGAATGGTGAAAGTCACTAAATACAAGTAAATACAAGTACAGCAAAAATCATTAATATCGGCGGGTTACTTATTTTTTAGGGCTAACCTATTGACCTTAATTGCAGCATGGAGCGTTTAGGATGTCAATGGGTGAACCAGGTTTGACTTAGTACATAACTCCATTTAATACAGGGTAGATAAATTAGTTGTCAGACATTTTATCTAAATTGTACAAACTGGCATATATTTACAAGACTTCACATTTGGGAAACAACCTCATTCATTCACTATCAATTAGTGATGTTTATAGAGATAACATACTGTAACATGTTATCTTGCTTTGACTGACTGTTGATGCTATGGCCTATGGTGTGTGAACTACAACACTTGGTTGTCAGGTGTAAATAAACATACCACCATTTCAGGAGATGGCGAAGAAAGATAGAGAAAATATTTTCAAAACAGCGACCACAGGATTTATAAATGTATATGCAAAAGAGTATGAAATGTCAATGCTCATAAATGTTGAAGACAAACTGGTATATAGTATATTCTTTCTAAATTTCTAGTAATCCAGTGGGGCTACTAATTTGTGGAAATCACATGCTTAGTAGAACAAGAATTGGTTGTCTGCACGCCTTTGGCTACTGTTCAAAAGCTCAGTATTGGAGGGCTTCTGGTTTAATTGAATTAATCAAACCAAAAGAAAGTAACAATGAACGTAAATGTAAAAAAAAAAACATGCAAACACCTTGCTTAGCTAGAATGTCAATATACCACACACTTTGGACTAACTACAATATTCTTATCAGATATTGCAACTGTACACACTTAATGCATTTAAAACAATGAAATATCATGAATCCAGCAACAATTTTACATGTCATGAATATAGGCTTGTTTTAATATGTTTATTCAGTGGTACTAAAATGAAGCGTTTTAAAATACTACAAGAGTAGTCAACAATGCAACAAGTACATAATTCATCAAATACCTCAATGTTCTATCATTCCATCACCATAAAACACCCAATACTCAAAAATTACTTATCCATACCTGTCCTGGGACAGCCAACAAATGCTTAAAATCCTGACAACAAATCGACTCACAGAGAAAGGCCAGGTCAGTGCATAAGGCAGATATAGACATTGTAATACCAAGGCAAGTTAGTTGTACTGTCAAGCTACGTTCATGTAGTGCAAAATAAGATAGGGTTACTAGTTTGACCTCAATCTGATATAAAAGAATATTAGTTGGACTTCGACCTTAGAAATTAAAAAAAATTGTCCACTAAATAAAATAAGTAATTTAAATGTACAAAATGTATTGACAACAATTTTTGCACAATTACATAATCTTCAACCAAATAAAAAATAGGTTTTGCCTCATCGAAGCATGTCAGTTTGAAACCCGCGCCTCACATTTTTTGTGTACCAGTAAATTGTGTTTCAGAGAATGTTTTATAGATCAAAAAACCCTTAAATATATGTTTAGAAACTATTATTTAATAAACGTTTACAACACTGAACGAGTATCTTGTTGTGGTCTTAAATAATCTTAATATAAAAAATTATAAATATATATATATATAAAATAAAACTGCAAAACTGCATCATTTTTCAGTTTTCCTCAGGATAAGAAATTCTTTTTTTGCCTTAGGCAGGATGCGGTCAGGATGACAATAGTTCAATGTCTGCAGAGTATTTATAGAAAGCTGCATTAACAACGGCAATAAATCATTTGGTAATACTGTCATTATAACAAAGAAAAAAAAAAGGTAAAAAAACACAAACACAAAAATATTCAGTTTATTACAAAAAGAAATCTAGTTACTGGATTACTTACACAACAGGATTAATTACATTTTTTAATAGAAAGAATGAAATCAACAGTGTAAATATAAATCTCCCATGTTGCAATTCTTGCATGTGCATCCTTCTATTTAACATTCATATCAATACATGTTCTCTAACAAGAAATTTATTATTTACCTGTTAATTATTTTATTATTTATCTATATTTATATAAGAATTTGTGTATCTGCTTAGTGTATAAAATAAATACCACTACATACACAAAACACTTTACTTCAACCAGCTAATTTGCATGGCAGAACATAGTACAAAGGTTGCTGGCACATTGCCAATCAATTCAACAAACAAATAAAGGATATTGTTCTATTGAGGGGGAGAAGCAAATATTTTTTTGGCAGAACACAAAATGGTGGACAAGAGTAGAAATATATTTAATGAAACAAAACTGAAAAGAACATCAAATTCGGCCATTGAGATTTTGCCATTTGACCTTGAGACTGTTATATATCATTACAGTTGGCAGCATTGAAATCTCGCTATAATAATTTTTGTATATATTTTGAATTACATTAAGAAAATCATGAAATTTTATAGTAAGGAACATTTTTTTTAGACATTTGATAAGATTTAGTCCATATATGAACATTCCATAACAAACAATTATAAATATATTTATTATTCCTTGCAAACAAGAGGTAGATTAACCATACAAATAAAGTATATACACTGTAAAGGAATACGATCATGTGACAACATCAGTTATTTTTCCATTGTAATTTAGCAGCAAAATGTCAAACAGGCTTGAACACAGCACTCTATCTGAATACATGAACTACAAACTAATATCACTGAATTATTCAAGTGTGAAATAAAAAGGACTGTCAGGAGGGGTGGGTGTGAATAATCACTAACTACAAAGAAATTGAGATTTTTTAGTGACTTGAAGGTCACACCATTGCCACTAGTGTTCATGTAACTGTTTTGAATGACACATTCAGACAACACTAACTTGGGTTACACCCAACATTGTACTGCGGCATGTACCAACAGTTGTGTAACCATTATTATTTCATGAGACAACCAATATTCTAAAGAGACTATTACAAATCACAACAAACATGGGTTTTGTTTACAAAAATTAGCATAAATGTTGGAGCTTCCGTCAAGGACAAATGAGGTCACAGCTTGGTCACAACAACATACGAGGTAGATTCCTATACCATGATGTGCTGTTTATAAACTGTTCGTTTATAAACGTTGCATAAAGTTAAAAGCTGGCATTATGAACCAACAATATATTTCACATGACTTTGTAACAGTAAAATAATTTGTGCATGTTTTCATGAGATTTTATTTTTACCAATTTACTTAAATACTGTCCAGCAAAACTAATCACTGGTATCTGCGGCTATAACCTATATACTTGAGATTATTTATAAAACATTAATGAGTGTAAAGACAGTACACCATTCCTACTACTTTTACAATTTCAGAGAACTGAGACAAAAGAACAATAAATATGGCCCATATTTAAAAGGTAAATTTCAAAGGCAAACAAAAAAACAAATTCAAAACGCACAACAAAAACAACAGGGATCACATGTGGCCTATGGTTCTAAGACCTTTAAACAAAATCACAATAACTTGATTCTTTTGAATATTTGTTAATACATGATCAAAGCTCAACAAAAATTACAAGTACATTTCCCCTTTTAAAAATAATCCTGTTAAGTCAACTCCTTTATTATCCTTGCTAGATGGTTTCTATTTGTTGAATAAATGAAGCCTTATTATTTTGACTGATACTCACACAAGGAGATTGTCTTTCTGCTCATATAGACAAAAGACATAATAGTACCATTAATTGATGTCAACATTTTTTCTCCTCCACAACAAAAATGTGTTTACATAACAAGTCAGATGTAGCGTAAGAGTACCACATTTCTCAGTTTTTATTAAAAGACCATTTCAAATCCCAGATTAAATACAAATCATTTAAGATGTTAATTTTAATGGCAAATAAAAAAAAATTCAAAGTGCACAACAAAAACAGGGATTACACACAGCTCATGGTTCTAAGAACCTTAGACAAAATCACAATAACTCAAGATCTACTCATAACTTATTTGATTATAATTTTGGAAAGCAATCTCCTATATACTTAAGAATGTTTGCAGCATGACTTAGTTAATGCATGCATTTAGCTCCATCGTTAATGCAGGGAGCTACCTGGTTAATGCAAGAAATGAAATTCAAGGTCATTAAATATATAGCAAACGCGTAAATAGAAACTGTATTTTGGAAAGTAATTTTCAATTTTATTACACCAAACTAAAGTTCATCTAGACGTAAATATTTTTATTTTTTTTCTATGACAGTACAAACCATTCATTTATTCACAGCATGACAAAATGGCCATGACAGTAGAACATACAATTACAATCAAACGATTTTTTTTATTCAGCAGTATTTCTTACTAAAGTATATACAACGCAGCTACACACAGCAGAGAACTTCCCAGGCATGTCTTGAATTAAAGAAGTGCATTGTATTTTTAATTGAAATATGGTGTGTATATCAAGCCCTATCTGGTCAACAATGTGGGAAACCCCACCATTTGGTATGGGGTATCTCTTTTAAATCAGGTCAGTGGAGACAGGCTGTCAAAACAAACTCTACTACAAGAACAATGATAAGTAATTGGTCTAACCCACATACCTGACAGATTTTTTCCCATATTTCATCACATCCTGCCTTCTCCTGGAAACTCAGTGCTAAATCATAGTTATCCGCCTCTGACCAAACAATTAACGTTTCCTATATCAAATATATAAGCAATGAATGTATAATAACAAAACTCGATATACTACTTATTTGAGATTATTCATTGTTCCCTTTGTTGTAAATTATTATAACGTTGTTAAATACCAGCAAATACTAGTACGTGTGCCATTCGGAAGCGATAGCACAAACAAATATTAATACTACTAAAGACACCGGCGTACTGCCTCGTGGTGAAAGTAACACACGCATGTAAAAAACATTGACATGAGACAACATTTGATGATTTTACCTGTTGTTTCTGGTAAGCTGTGTCAGGCTGGATTTTGGATTCTAGTAGCAGGGACCCTAAAAGGGGTTAAATAAAGGTTAATTTTAAGGACTGCGTGGAAATACAGAGTAGGTAAACTGCAACAGAGAGATTTATTTCGCAGGTCACTGCGTTTTCTACACTCAACAAAAGGTCAGTGATATTTTTGTAGTGAGCTATGTGGACTGTCACTAAGCTCAGTAGCGTATTATTAAGCGAAGAATTAACTTATCATATCCGGTCATTTTGATCTTCATTCGAAAGAATGGCTATTTATCAACTAGATTACAATGAACTTAAACGAAAGACAGAGTAGATTACCGTCGGACTCGGCACGAACCAACAAGGACATTCCCTTCAACCGTTCCACATATGCAGACGATACATGGCCTGTTCCTCTGTCGTCCCATTGGCGCTCATCGTTCAGCACGTACAACTTGACACGCCGCCTCGTATCAACCATGTTGAAGAGATAGTGGTTTTCCCAACGATTTTAGTGTATGGGTACATGTGATGAGGGTCGTAAGTCCATGTTAGGAGCTAATATACACTATAGTATAAGCTGTGCCAGCCGCCATCTTGGATCGAAACAACAACATCTACGGGGTTTCATTCACTGTGACGCGGGGGTTTTTCATGGCGGCGCCAAAATTTAAATACACGACAATGGAAATCAGCTGACGAATCCCTACAAACGTCAAGCACGTATACATGTGAACTATGGGTATACGACTCCATAGGAACCCCTGCAGAAACAACACAATGACAATAGAAATTATTTATAATTGTTGGTGTTTATTTGACATAGGACAACGATTAACAAATTATTATTATTACCAGGGATTATAAATCTTGCTATTATATATAATATTCATCGATCCGAGCAGCTTTTATCTACTTACTATTAATTCTTGTTCAAATAATGAAACATCATCCTTCCTAACCCTAAACGTTTTATTTATTTATTTATTTATTTATTTATTTATTTATTTATTTATTTATTTATTTATTTATTTATTTATTTATTTATTTATTTATTTATTTATTTATTTATTT